TGTTGTTGTTGTTGTTGTTGTTGTTGTTGTTGTTGTTGTTGTTGTTGTTGTTGTTGTTGTTGTTGTTGTTGTTGTTGTTGATAGAAAATGTGGTATTTTGAAGTCTGTTTTCTAAACGTCACAATTTCTGTGTTTGTTGTATTCAGATTTATTGTGACGCTACATGCGTCAATGCGCATGCGTCGAACAGTCATCTGACGCGCATTGTAGACGCTTCGGGGCCACCGCTGTTGCAGCTGAGCTGCGCGCACACGCAGACGGTACGACGACTCTTCTCTCGTGAGGGGAAAAAGAAATTAAAACAATTGTAATTTTTATTTACGCAAACGGCGAGTTTAAAAGACGACGGACCGGAGGCTGTGGTGGTGTGTAAGTGGTGGGAAATTCTTCAGAAATGTCGCCGGCAGCGCGAGAGTAAAGAYTGTTGTAATGGCTATTCCTCCAGGGATGCCGTGAAAATATCAAAGGCAGCGGAGTGACTGAGACCGCTGCTCCTCGCTACATCACGGACACGCTGGCGGCGGCAGGAAGCGATGGATACGGATGGAAAGATCCATAGGTAGCGTTTCCGAAGACCCAGAGATAGCTGAACGTCTCTGTCGCGCAGTTTTAGTCTCCGCCGGAGCTGCATGAAGGATGGATTTCAGCCTGCTCCGGAATATCATCAGCAGATACGTAAGGGCCGCCATCTGTCAATACTGTCACGAACCTCTGGTGTCTATGTGCTGCAGTCAGTGTTTAAAGTGTTTTTTTTTTCTCTTTTGTCCATAGTCAGGGTGACAAATAACTTTGCTCCTCTGCAGTCATCATTTTTTGTTTTGTTTTTGTGAAACTGAATGGAGAATATGCCAGTAGCCAGTAACCACAGTGCTGAATGTGTTGAATAGAGATGAACTTAGCTGACCCATTTAAATGAGCCACAGTGCACATGAAAACTAAAGTACCTCCTTAGTATGGAAGGGGATAATTCCAGTTAGAACCAGTCATCACACCTGCACTCACTTCCAGGTGAATAGAAACTTTGCAGGTAAACAGGCATGTCTTTGAGACCAGCTTTAATGGTTGGCCTGGTGTGAATGGGCTGCTGCCCTCAGCAACTTATCTGGCAGCACAGGAAGTGACTGCTTGGTGGGTGGATGAATTAGAGGAAAAAGGTGTTTATGAGAAACCAACTGTGTCAGGCCTGGTGACTCTTGTTTTCTCACATCTATGATGCTTTCATCTGACTATCATGGCTCAGGTGTTGCAAAGAAATGTTCAGTTGTAGTAGGGCAGAAAGCTTGAATGATGCTCAGGTGGAGCTAATATCAAGGGAAATCAAAAGTGAGGGGGGAGGGAGTGAGGAAGGGATGTGGGTCACTGAACACACCCCTCCAGTCCTCGCCCTTCTCCCTTTGCATCCTCGTCATCTCGCTGAGCCGGCAAGGTGTTAATCGTTGCTTAAATTTTCAAGATATTGATTTACAATTTGAGTGATGGATGATGTACAGGCTTTCTGGACCTCTATTACCTGAAGGTGTATTGCCCTCTTTTAACCCTGCCATAGTTGGAACAGCTGCTCCAGTAATGAGACTACATAGTAGAACAAACGTTACATCATGCAAAATGATTAAAATGTGATAAGACACAAGTCAAAGCCTTTTTTCAGACAGAGAGAAAAGTCTCTTCCCAGCAGTTGGTCACAGCCCAAATGTTGTCCAGCAAAGAATTAAAAAAATTGACTTCAGCCATTAAAGGGTGTTCCTCTAATTTAGTCCTACTGAGCTTCACGACTTTCACTTTGTGATGTTTTCTCTCTTTAACCTTGTTAATGATGCATTATTTTTTAAGGGAAAGAAATTATTAGTTGTTTTGTGCAGGTTAGCTTTCATGCATTTAGTCACAAACGTTTTTCATGTGCTTGATTTCTCATGAAATCCATTACAACCTTCCTAATATTGCCAGAGACAAAAAAGTATTAAACTTATATTTTGTGGCATTTTATTTATAGAGGCAGATGAATCAAGGTTTTAGATTTGTCAATCCTGATCTTTAGAAATAGGGACACCCAATATTCGATTTAGGAATTTGAATCAATGTTTTGGCTTATAAATTTATAATTTATGTATATAATTTATTATTCGTGCACATTATAATTTCATACATTGTTGAAAAAGCAGTCCCAGAGGCTTGTTCAAAGTACACAATCCTAGCTTCGTTGCAGTTTGCTTAAAGTTTGCTATAAATACAGTTCCATGCATAAAACCATTCATACGTTTTGTCAAAACGTAACATTTTCTATATAATAAATAAAATGTATGTCTCTGAAAGATAAGAATGAAGATTAAACTACATTCTTATTAAAACATGAATATATTCTCATCAGGGCCACAGTAGCTACCACATTCTTACAACCCAGAGGGTGCAGGTTCTAGTCCAGGTTATGTCAGGAAGGGCATTCAGTGACCATCAAGTTCTTTTTACAGGTAATCACTGTCATAGAATACAATGGTTATATATAGTTTTTGCATTCAGGCCGTTCAAGTGTCAAAAAACAAACAAAGCTGTCATGAAAACACCTGAGCACAAAGCTGATGATTAGCCAGTGACAGAACACAGACAGGACAAAAAGTAAGGAAATTTGTGTTTGGTAGATTATTTCTTTGCTGTAACAATGCTTCTTGGCAATACCTATTAAAACCTGTAGTTTCCCTTTTAAATAGTGTCACATTTATAAGGAACATGCGTTTGTGGAATGAGCAGTAGAGTTGAGTGTGTGGGTTGCGCACATGAAAAACTTCATAAATGTTCTCTGCCATTGCTAAACATCTTCTTTTGCTTGTGCTATTGGCACTTGTTTTGAGCTTCTGGTACCCTCAGGTGCTGCCAATCAGGTGCTTGCGATAAGATTTATTTTGTATTAAGTATAGATGGAAGTGTAGCAAGAACAATTTCAGTGGAGAAAGTTCAAGTGATTTAGAAGACATCTATGATGATTATTTGATCCACATGTAGCTATGAGCACAATAGCAAGAAAAAGCAACTCCATGAGATGACAATTTGGTACAGAAAGGACCTTCCTGGCTTGGAAATACTTACTGCTATGTGCTAGTGTTTACAGTAGAATAAACACATCCATTAACTAGAAGCACTCGGAGAGTGCAAACCTCAGCCAAGACCAATGGGCCTCATGCAAGAACGTTCGTATTCTTATCCTAAATTTCTCTTACTTTTGTTCGTACAAAGGGTTCGTACGAACA